ATTATAATACTAATCATAATTAAAAATATTAATAATAGTACTACTAATAACAATAATAATAATAATAATAATAATAATAATAATAATAATAATACTAACCATAACGTACACTTCAAAATAACAACAAAAATAACAACAAAAATAACAAAATCCAAAAAATAAATAAATAAACAACAACAACAATAACCTTAATAACAATAATAATAAAAACCTAATATCAACAAAATAATAAAAGTTATCATATTTTTAAAAATAATAACATTACAAAATATACTAACCATAATAATAGCAACAACAACAATAATAATATCAACAATAATAATAACAACAATAATAATAATAACCATAACACTTCAAAATAACAAAAAAAATAACAAAATCCGAAAAAAAAAATTAAAATTAACAATTAAAAATAACAAAACCATATTCTTAACGGGCAAAAAAAAACAATAAAATTGGAATATCCGCCCAGAAAATCCGGATGTTCCATGGAGGATCCAGAAATTCCAGGCGGATCCTCCATGAAACTTCCGGATTTTTTGGGCGGAAGTTCCTGGATCCGTAATTAAAAAAAAAATTACCTCGTCGCCTATGTCGCCGCCACCTCCGCCGCTGCCACCACCGCCGCCGAAGCTCCTCCCTCCGAAGTTTAGCCTAATCCGCCTCGAATCACCCATTTTTTTGTGTTTTTGATGATTGTTGTTTTTTTTTTTTAAAAATGAAGACAAATTTTTGAAATATTTTTTTTTAAAATTTTTAGAGTGTTTTAGAGAGTTAGAGAGTAAGGGAGTTAGAGAGAGAAGTAAGAAAGTGAGAAATTTTGGTCGGGAAGGAAAAAACCGTATTTATATATTAGGGGTAAAATTGGAATTTCAAGACAAAAAGGGAGCGTTACCCGGTAAAATGGGAGCGACGAATAACACCACCCTAAAAATACCTTACATCCTCCAACAACATTCAAACAAAGCCATGATTCACATAATTCAACTCTTTTTTTTCAAGGAAAACACAATTTCATGATAAATATTGCCTTTCACTACTACAAAAAAAACCCTAATAAGTCGGACTTTTAGAGTCACATGTACATAAGGTGCGACTTATAAAACTATCGAGTCACCTCATATTTATTAGGCGACTTGTTAAGTTGGGGTTAAAATCAACAAAGCACCTAACGAGTCGCCTAATATATATGAAGTGACTTGATAAGTTAACAAGTCGCCCCATACATGCATAGGATTTTATAATCCGGCTTATTTGGTGGTTTAAATTAGATTTTCAAAGTCACCTGTACATAAGGTGCGACTCAAAAGCCTGTCGAGTCGCCTTATACATATTAGGCGACTCAATAGGTGAGTTTTCTTATCTATGACTCTCACCTAATGAGTCGCATGATATTCATAAGGCGACTCGCGATAGGTTAAAAAGTCGCACCTTATATACAGGTTACTTTAAAAATCTAATTTAAGCCACCTAATAAATCGGGTTATAGAGTCACATGCATATATGGTGCGACTTGTAAACCTATAAAGTCACCTCATGTATATTAGGCGACTCATTAGGTGCTTTGTTCTCAACATAAAAAGTCGCCTAATAAGTATGAGGCGACTCAATATGTTTACAGGTCGCACCCTATATATAGGTGACTCTAAAAGTCCGACTTGTTAGGTGCGTTATTATATAAACGAAACACTACCTAATAAGTCGCCTAATACGTAAGACGCGACTCGATAGGTTAATCCTGAAATTGTATATAAAATAGTTACAATATCATATATATATATATATATATATATATATATATATATATATATATATATATATATATATATATATATATATATATATATATATATATATATATATATATATATATATATATATATATAGGGGAAGGCTCTCGTGAGAAATTTTCTTATGTGAGAATTTTTCTTATGTGAGAACACTCTTTATGTTCTAAATTTTTACTCGCATGTTTCTAAATTTTAAATCAGATGTTCTAAACTTTTCCTTAGGTATTCTAAATTAAATCAAATGTTCTAATTTAGTACTCACATGTTCTAAACCATAAATTATTTAAGTTCAATGTCATAAATTTTAAATAACTTGTTCCAAAATTTTAACTTGTATGTTCTAAATTTTAAAACGTGTGTTTTAAGATTTTTAATTATATATTCCAGATTTTAAATTGTATGTTCTATTTTTTCACTCGTATGTTCTAAATTATTTACTCACACTTTCTATATTCTATATCAGTTTGTTCTAAATTTTTATTCACATGTTCATAATCTTAAATCATATGTCTAAATTTTACTCATATGTTTAAAATTTCATAAAGCAAATTTTATAAATTTTTAATCACTTGTTCTAATTCTTAAATCAGATGTTCTAAACATATTACTCACACAAATGTTCTAAATTATTACTCATATGTTCAAAATTTTAATTTGAGTCACATGTTCTAAGTTTTAACTCGCATGTTCTAAATTTTGAATTCACATGTTCTAAATTTTTACTCACATGTTCTAAATTTTAAATCAGTTCTCATATAAGTATGAATTCTCACATATGGACCTATTCTCACTGGATCCCTCCCCTATATATATATATATATATATATATATATATATATATATATATATATGAAAAGTAACTTTGGCATAATGGCAAGAAATTCAACCTTGCAAATTAAAGAACCAAAGATCAAGCATGCTCAGTGTCATAAACACTGACATTATATGAGCTAATAAAAATAGTTGGAAAAAATGTTGATTTTTTACGTGTCGCCTCTTTCAACACAAGCAACACAATAGATTTACCTAGGGAGTCGCCTCTTTCAACACAAGCGACACAATACCTTAACAAATAGAGTCGCCTAACAACTAATAGGCGACTTATATAAAAGCTATCAAGTCGCCTATGAGGCAACTCCTAAAATAGGGAGCTATTGTGTCGGTGGCTGTGGAGTGGCCTTTAAAGCGGCTCGTTAGGTCATTTACAGGTGACTCGATAGGGGTTTTTTGTAGTAGTGTTTCTTTTTTCATCACTTTTCTTACTCAAATTTCATGATTTTTCAATTTTTTTGAGGGGGACTTTTTGAAGAACTACCTTTTACAAGTCAATTTTTGTGAAAAACTACCTTATAAGAAAATGTTGTAAGAACCTATCTTTTAAACAATAGATGTTGTAAGAAACTACCTTATAAAACAATTAATGTTGTAAAAAGCTACCTCTTGGATCTTGCCAAATTATTGCATTAAATAAGTGAAAATTTTAAGGTGCAGGCGGCTGTACCTTGCTTGGTACAACCAAAAAATGCAAAAAGAACATGTAACTATTTTGTAAAGAGCATACAGTTATTTTGTAAAGAACATATAGTTGTTTTGTAACGAACATTCAATTTTATATATTTTTTTCATATCTAAAGAACATCTGCAATATTAATAAAGAACATGATAATATTATGTAATAAACTTTATCTATATATAACCACCCTAATTTGAAGACAAAATTTAATAAACATTTCACATTAAGCAATGATCTTTATGTTGCAAATAAAGTACATTACACTGACTGATCAATGAACATAAACATATGTTCTTTTTATGTATTTTTTTGGTGCAAATATGTTCTTTTCACTCTAGGTATATGTTCATTACATTTTAATAGTATGTTATTTTTACTTTAGGTATATGTTCATTACATTTTAATAGTATGTTCTTTTCACTATAACTATATATTCATAACTTTTATATATCATGTTCTTTCCTACAAAACGACTGTACGTTGCAACGTACAGGCGCCTGTAGGAACCAGTTATTGTTAAATAAGTGTTGAAGCTTAGAGTTTTGATGATGATGAACACTAAATAGAAAACTTCAACTAATGAGCCTTTTCCCGTGAATATTGACTTTGGAAGTGGAAGATTAGCCTGCCTATGAAGACTCAAGGAGGCTCCAAGTAAAGTTAAAGTAATAGAAGTATCTGAGTTCCCTAACAAGAACATGAAGGTTCCATGTGCATTTTTTATATAAATGGGGGTGTTTAATGGCTGATGCAGCCAGTGCATCTAAGAATTTTCCAACTATTTGACACCACTCTGACTTTTTTATGGTCCATTTTTGCAAAGTTTGATCCCTACAGTGATCACTACTTACTACCCCATACTAGAAACCAAATGTAATCTTAAATATCTACCTTACGATTTCTTAAGCTATAATTATGCTACTAGTGTGGCTGTGGCTGTTTTTTTTTTTTTTTTTTTTTTTGGGGGTGGGTTTATCTCCTACCCCAAAATACAGTCTTCAAACAAACATTATTAGGTTAGATAAGTTTTAATTTATAGAATGAAAATGGTGGGATTACTAGGCAATAAAAGATTTTGTACTCGCGATTATATACTTGCTTGTTACTGTTATACAATTACAAGAAATAGATAAACAAAGATTTAATACAAAAGGCGCCATGAGATTTGTAACCACCAAAGAAGATACCAATCGACAAAATCAAAGCAAGCTTGACGCCACTGAGGGTTGATATAAAGGATTGCAACCGTCGCTATAAAAATAGTTGCACACGACATTCCAAAGCTCCATAAGAAGTCTACCACAAAAGTTCTGTCGTCATCTCCATCTTTGATAAGATCAGTAGTACTAGGCAACAATGCTTGCGTTTGATTGTACAAGTCACTTCCCGGGAACCCAAATAATCCGGGATTACCAAGATAGTTTCTCTCATCAAAGCTACCAAACTGTCCAGTCACGGGTACTTTTCCACTCAAATTATTGTACGACACATTGAAGATCTCCAATGCGTTGAGCTCAACAAGTTAAGAAGGAATCCCGCCACTCAAATTATTGAAGGAAAGGTCTAGGCTTTCGACTTGCTGCAGGTTGGAAAAATGACAGGGGATGGAACCCGATAAGATGTTGTGTGACAGATTCAAGGAATGGATGTGTTGTAATTCACCAAGTTGTGGTGGTATGTCAACACTGAGCTCGTTGCTAGATAAATCCAAACCCGACATAAGAAAGGTATTGGTTCTTTGCTAGAAACTCTACTTCTTCAAGTACATTATACCTTTCAAGATAGTAACCATCATTACCATGATATACATAATAAGCATATTCAAAATCCATTAATGTCTTCATCCCAAAAGATATATTGTTGAAGCATTTGGGTATTTCTCCATAGAGGTTGTTACGCGACAGATCTAATATGTTTATAGACCTCAACTTGCACAATTGTTTGGGGATTGTACCGTGTATATTATTTCCACCCAACAAAAGCACTATAAGGCTCGAAAGCTTACCAATCCACAATGGAATACTACCCGAAATGTGATTGTCCCTCAAATCAAGTGTTTGTAACCTCGAGCAATTTGATAGAGAATCCGGTATCTCTCCTATGAGATTGTTGTGCAATTGCATGTAGAAGAATTGACAAGAGTTGGAGCATGAAGGTATAGTTCCACTGAAGTTATTACGCGAGAGGTCTAAATAATAATGACCTACTGCGCATATTTCCTTTGGAATTTGGCCATTCAATTTATTTTGTGACACAGACAAAGTATCCAAATAAAAGAAGTTGCCTATCCACCAAGGAAGTTGGCCAGTTACATTATTATTGGAAATATCCAAGTAAAATAATCTAAAGCTTTTTCGAAGGGCTTCGTTGATTGTCCCCCCAAAACGATTGTTGTTTAGCTTCATCCATCTCAACCTTGGAAGGTTCATATCCTCGGGTATTATATCCCCTTCTAAATTGTTGTTAGATAACACGAGTTTATCCAAGGACTTACAATCACTAATCAATTTTCTTGGCAATTCCCCGGAGAAGTTATTATTTGACAAATCAATATAGCCTAAATCTTTAATTTGACCTATTGAGTTTGGAATAAGTCCTTCAAAATGATTGCATGACATGTTTAAATGTGTGAGTCGAGGAAACACTAAACCAAAATTTTTAGGTAACTTACCATGGAAATTGTTGTTTGAAACATCCAAATTTTCTAATGATAGATTAGTAAAATGAGGAAATTGAAGGCTCCCTGAAAGAGAGTTGTTTAACAAGTACAAAAGCTTAAGCTTAGAATTGTTAATAAAAAGCCAAGTAGGGAAAACTCCAAATAAGTTATTACTAGAGAGGTCAAGGTTTGTCAAATTGGTTTGGTGTGACAAAAATTCACGAAAAGCACCACCCATTGCTTCGCCGCCTCTCCGACGACGTTCGTCGCGTCTCCGACGACCTTCGCCGCGTCTCCCCCTCCCCGTAAAACATTCCTCTCCTCACGCAAACACTAACTCAGCCCCTAGAAATCCCTCCCTCTCCCCGCAAAACTGCCGTCCAACCCTCCCCCACCCTCGAAACCCTAGCGCGGCTAGGGTTTCGAGGGTGGGGTAGGGTCGGACGGCGGTTTTGCGGGGAGAGGGAGGGATTTCTAGGGGCTAGGTTAGTTTCTAGGGTTTTTGGGGTTGATTCTCAGGGAAGAGAGTGCTGCGTGTGCGCGGCGAATGTGCGGCGGATGGCGGCGAAGGTGCGGCTGGTGGTTTGGTGGACGGATGGTGGCTACAAAAGGTGGAAAGTGAATGAATTAGGTGGTTGTGTGGTGGTTGTGGGGTGGTTGTGTGGTGGTGGGTTGATGGGATTATTTCCCTTTGTTTCTAAAACAAACAACATGAGAATATTGGGGTTTTCATTCCATTCACTTCCATTCCCTTTGTTCATTCCATTCCCTTTACCCCGGGTGAACCAAACGGCCCCTTATTTTATTCGTTTTAATGAATTGTTTATTAATATTTAACTATTATATTTACACTAATGACCCACTAACAATATTTATTTATAGTCAAAATTTTACATTGACAAACGTGCACAGTCAAAATGGAAAAAACATTTGGGGACTAAGAGAGTATTATTTACCTTTTTTGGGGTTTTTTGTTGAAAACTACCTAATACAACCTAAAATTTGTGAAAAGCTACCTAATAAAAATAATGTTGTAAGAAACTACCTTATAAAAGGTAAAATGTTGTAAGGTACTACCTTTGGCTGAATTTCCACCGTTGATCTATTTTTAAGGCGTTGAGCTACCTCAAAACACCCCCGAAACCACCACAGAGGTTGTTTTCAAGGTGGTAAGGTTATTTTTGGGATGGTAAGAAGATATTCCGACTTGGTGAGGGTAGTTTAATTTCGTGATTCGAGATGTTGATTTTTGGGGTTAGAGGTGGTGGTTTTGGGATTGGAGGGTACTTTCGGCTTGGTGAAGGCAATTTCAAATAGGTTGTGTTGGTTTTTAAGTGAAAGCGGTGATTTTGGGGGTGTTTTGGGTAGTATTTTACAACAAATAATATTTTATTAGGTAGTTTCTTACAACATTTTACCTTTTATTAGGTAGTTTTTTACAACATTTTTTATTAGGTAGTTTCTCACAAAATCTGGGCTTTGTATATATATTTTTCACTTACTCAATACCTAGATTAGTACTTGTGCGATGCACGATTTAATAATTTAACAGATATTATTATTATTATTATTATTATTATTATTATTATATTATTATTATTATTAATTAATTAATGATTTCGCAACCAATCATATGAAAGAGGTTATTAATGCGTTTTTAGTAATTAATACTCAGACTTTTATTTATTTTTTAAAAAAAAACTTCCTAATAATTAAATTTATTTGTTGGAAAGATAAAAAATTGAAAAAATATATGATTGAAAAAAAAAAGTGATGTCATAATCATCTTTAGGGGGAAATTTTTTAATTGAAAAATGACATGTATACAAAGATGATGTCAACATTTTAAATTTAGTAATAGTTATAGACATAATTGTTCAACATTAACCCTTTTTATTAATTTTGATAAAATTTATAGAGGCGATGCCAATAACTAGTCTATATTAGTTTCTCAACATGCCCTTAAATATTTAAAATACTGAGTTATACATTTATATGTATAACCATTGTTATATCTATTATACAACACATCATGAGGTTATAGAAAAGGAGAGCTTTTTGTCAAAAACTACCTGATAAAATCCATATTTTGCGAGAAACTACCTAATAAAAAAAATATGTTGCAATTTAATAAGCTACTTAATAAAGATAAAATGTTGTATTAAACTACTTAAGAAAAGGTAAATGTTGTAAAATATTACCTACCTATACCAGATTTCTACCGTTGATTGACCTCAAAACAATCCCAAAACCACCTTTCATTCCCAAAACTAACACAACTTGCTTGAAATCGTCTCCACCATCTATACCACCTTTCAACCCTAAAACCACCACCTCTAACCCTAAAAACCACCATCCCGAAGCACTAATCTACCCTCACCAACTCAGAATATCCTCTAACCACCCCGAAATAACCTTATCCCTTTGAAAACCAACCCTAACAGTGGTTTTGGGGGTGTTCTAAGGTGGATCAGCATCCTAAAATTATGTCAACGGTGGAATTTCGGTCAAAAATAGTATATTACATAGGGGACGTGGACAAAGGTTAGCAGACATGTATTCTGCCAAAAGACAAGTTCTGTCTAACTCTTTCAATGCAACTAGAACACACAATGATGTTTTGAAGTCTCTTCAAGGTCAAAAGAATCACTCTAGAGGTATTCCTGATAAGGATAAATCTAATGTAAATGATAGAACTTCCTTCAATCCATTATCTTCTCCCCCACATCAATTATCAAGAAATGATGTGGAAGATTATAATTCATCATCTGAGTCAATGCAAGAGGACAATGATGATAATGAAATCTATTCCTCCCCTGAAGACGAGGATATGCATATTCCACATGATAATGAGGATTTAAGTGATCATGATTTTGAGGAAAATGAAAATATGATTGATCATCATAATGACAATGACAATGAGAGGGAGATATGTACTGATATTCAAGAAATTGCAAATGGTAATATTTTTAGCAATTAACAATATATTTGATTTATCATGTATCTATTTTTTTTGTTGCATATGTATCTATTAATTTGATACTTCTAACTATTTTTTTTTTTAATAGATGGGGCTGCATCTTCTACCACTAAGAAAGCTATGATTGGAAAAAAGAGGGGAAGAAACAAATGTAAAGAAATAGCTAAGCTTAAGCCTAATGAGAAATTAGAGATTGAATTCTATAATAATAGAGCTGTGGGAAAAAATCACAAGGTATTTGCAAGGCATCTTGGGATAATAGTTCGAGACTCAAATATCTGCCCAGTTAGAGTCCGCAAATGGAGTGATATTGGAGATAGAGAAAAAGAACACATGTGGACTGCTGTTACAGTAAGTATTTAGTCTAGTTGCTAACCTATTGATTCATATACTATTATTTATAAAAATAAGTGGAGTATATCAAATATACTACTTCAAACCCATTTCATAAATGTAGAATTTAAGATGTATTATGAAACTTTTGCGTATTCTCTCATTACTTTGTCAATTGTCCTAATCCTAAAGTCATGAAATTGTTAGCTCAAATTGTAATGCATATGATAGAGCTGCACTTCATACTAGTCTTTTACAGGTAAGCAGACATGTATTCTGCCAAAAGACAAAGGTTAGCAGACATGTATTCTGCCAAAATTCTTATTAGTGGTCTGAAATCTCTTTACTAGTCTTTTCATTAGTTGAAGGACAATTCCTAATTTGATTAGGAACTGAAAACTTACTACTGTCTTATTGAGCTGGTTGTGATCTTAAAGGGACATTTCCTAATTATGTTTTAATTTTTTTGTATTGATTAAATTGATAAATCATATCTAGTAGTGCTAGAATTAATTATATCTTATGTTCCAACATTAATTGATAATCTATTTTATGTTAGGATGTCTTTACTAATGAAAGCATTGACGCTTACAAGGAGCATGTTCTTAACCATATGAGAGCTATGGACAAATTGGAGGTCTAATTTATTAAGGTATAATGTCACCAAGAAGAAAATTACCTTAGCAGCTGCATACAAAGGTAAGCCACCAAACGGAGTTGAAGAGAATGATTGGAAGTGGCCAATCAAGGAGGTTTATTTAGATGATGATTTTCAGGTAAATCCACAAAACAAGAATTTTTTGCTATTATTTTTATATGATATAATGATACATATTGTTAATAATCTACAGAAAAGAAGCACTAGGAACTCTGAGAATAGAGCTCATTATCCTAAAGAGCTATTGCATCGAACAGGAAGCAAGCCTACTAGACAAGTCATTTGGGATGAATTGGTATGTTGATAATAATAAAATTTTGCTTTCATGTCTTAAAGTATTGTATGTGATTTACAATAATTTGACTATAAGTGAATAATTATTGTGTTATGGAAGGGAGCAAATAAGGGAAATAAACCAAGTTTAGTTGATGTGTTCCATGCGACTCGTAAGAAAGGCACCAACTTTCCAAATGCAGAGACGAAACAAAAATATGTATGTTCATTGAATGCTTGATTTAGTTCGAACTTTAATTTTTTTATTTATGAATATTTATTTTAATTTGGACATCATGATTATATTATTTATGTTGTAGGATGAAATTCGAAAAATAATAGAAAATGAACCATCACTTTCTCATGCACAGGTATATATATATTATTTTTTGTCATATATTCCATAATTTGTTATATGTAATGTTAAGATGTGCAAAAATTAATGTATATGAAAAACATGTAGGTTGCACAAAAGGTTTTTAAGTCAAAGTCTCGTGATCGGGTTGTGTGTTTTGGAGGAGGTATAACACTTACAGAAATAACAGGACCACAACCTAGTAGAGTGGAACTTCAAACTGAGTTGACAACGGCAAAAAAACAAAATCAAGATCTAATTAATCGCGTTGACACGGTACAAGAAGAGAATGATGAGCTCAAGGGACAAATGGGTGCATTTGAAGCTGAATTAAAAGCATTCAAGGATTTTATGATGCAACAGCAACAATAAGTGGCTGCTACTTATTGTTGAAATAAGACATTTCTTATGTTTTTAGGCTTAAGGACAACATTTTATAATTAGTAAACCTATTGTGTTTCAATATCTAAGTAAAAGGCTTAACTCTCACGACTAAGTGTATGTGATTATTGGTTTCATCAATTTTTAAGGTCAAACCTTTTGTGATAAATAAATTTGTCATTGGCTATGTTTTTTTTTAATGTCATTAATTTGATTTGATTTTTTTTTTGTGCCAATTAATTTGATTTGATAATGTATGTAGTTACCTTTTCAAATTACGACAGATTAGAAATGCCTCTTGTTATTTGCATTTGTAGTTAACAACGAAAAATTTGGTCGTTATAGATTCAAATTCAAATTTTATATAACCATTAAACAACGGAGATAATTGGTCGTTATTGTATAAAAGTTTGTTGTTGAAAGATTAGATATTAACGACAGTTACTTTGTTTATCGTTAATGTTTAACGACGAAGTAATAAGTTATCGTTAACAAGTAACGATGAACATCGTCGTTAAAACCAATAACGACGGAGCCTGTTACAACGAACAAACGACGAAAATATTTCGTCGTTAAATGTTTTAACAACGGTTCAAAGGCCATATAACGACGAAAATACGTTAAAGACCCTTTTTAAGCAATTGGGGTGGTACATAATTTCTCTTCGATCCTACCAAAGAAGGTTTATGTGCAACTTCATTTGAATGAGCCACTTTTGCACTTGGTCGAATACTTTTCTCATTTAGACGAACTCCTTTCTCGCTTGGCCGAACCATTTAACCTGCAATAAATTAAGAAAATTTGTAACTCGTTATAAATATTTATATGAGATAAAGGTATGCTATTCAAAAAAAATAATATGAGATAAAGGTATAACAACATATTCCAAACAAATTAAAAATTAAGTGAGAAATACCTGTACAAAATATTCAACTCTTGAATCATTTGTGTACAAAGAGCAGGAATATATGCCTCTAATTCTGAATAATACTGGACTATATAATATTGATTAGTGTACCAGCCCCATATTTTTACTACACCCTTTTAGATTTTCATTTGCATATTTATAGAGCTCTGAAGATCCTGCATACATATTTTCTGTTTCAAATAATCTATTTGTAGCAATAACAATCATCCCATGAAACAAAAGCACAAGGGCAAGTAAAAAAACAATATGTAGAAAGTCATAAACAAGATCCAACGTAAAAATTAATCAAATAAGATGATTCAAGTCAATTCATGAAAAAATAAAATAAAAAACAGAATTAAAAATAAGATTATTTATTCTTCTCTTCGCCTCTTTAAAGGTCCTTGTTCTCCACTTTTGGTGCTCTTCTCTGTCACAAAGATTGGATCAATGCCATCCCTGCTCTTACAAATTTCAGAACATGCCATTGTTGAAGAGGATGTCGCATATGTAGGTTTGAATAATTCACCATGTTGATATGCATCACCTTCTTCGTTATCATCACTTTCATCATAGTTGCGCGGTTGAGTCTTTGACACAAGCTTCCAACTTATATTTAGATTGTCGATGGCGTAAAAAGCTTGTCTAGCTTGACTAGCTAATATATATGGTTCATTAGTTTTTAATTGCCTATTGCAATTAACACTAACAACTCCATATTCATCGGTTTTGACTCCTCTAACATTATCATATACGTCCCACCAATTACAACGAAATAGTACTACTCGATTTTGCCCAAGATATTGGATCTCTATTATATCAGTCACTATTCCATAATAATCAATGTTCTCCTCTTCATTCCCTGTGTTTCCAATCACAACCACCCCACTATTTTGTGTTCTCAAGGTTTTATCACGACTTTCTACGCGAAACCTATATCCATTAACAATATAAACAGTGAACAATGTAACATATTGTGTTGGCCCTCGTGAAAGTGAAAGCAAATTTTCCATTTTTGTGCTCTTATCAGTCTCATATAATTGGGCAACCTACCATGAAAACAAATAAAACATAACTTTTATAATTTAACAGAATGTCAAATCATATACCTCAAAACTTAATCAAAAGAATATTTTCTTACTTTATTCTTGAACCAAATTTTAAAATTTTCACACCATTCCTCTTTTGTGATTCTATGATCCGTTGATTCATGAACTTCAGCATACTCTCTGTAAAATAATCATACAAATACACTTCTTAATATTGATAAGTTAATATAGAAAAAGAATGAAGTTAGATAGGTCTTAGGTTCTTACTGAAGAAAAGGTTGGACCTCATCACAATTCTTCAAAATATAAATGTGAGCTTCATCAAGCTCACTCTTCTCTAGATCTCTAACAGTAGCAGCTCCTAAAGCTCGACCAGGATGACTAAAAATAGGCAGAGCATCAACATGACCTTCGACATTTTCATAATTTTGATCAAGACGATTAAATCTTGTCTCTACATTATGCATATACCTTGAACAAAGATTCATACACTCCTTTGCTAAATATCCTTCTGCGATAGAAGCCTCTGGATGGGCCCTATTCCGTATATAAGAATTCAGCTTATACATATATTGCTCAATAGGATACATCCATCTAAACTGAACCGGCCCTCCAATCTTTGCTTCATTGGCTAAATGTATAGGTAAATGCATCATCACATCAAAGAAGGAGGGAGGAAAAACCTTCTCTAATTTACAGAGAGTGATAGGAATTTGAGACTCTAGTTGCTCTAATTCATCAACTTGAAGTGTTTTAGCACATAATAATGTAAAATACATGGACAACTCAATTAGTGCTTCACGTACCAGTGGTGTGAGAAGACCACGTATTGCTACAGGAAGCAAATGCTCGAGTATTACATGACAGTCATGACTCTTTAATCCCGAAATTTTTTATTCCTTTGAATTCACACAATAAGAAATATTTGATGAAAAACCATCAGGAACTTTTAGCTCTATCAAAAAATTGCAAAAATGTTTATTTCAGATGGGGAAAAAGTATATGGAGCAGGAGGAATTTTCCATTTGTCCCCTTCTTTTATTGGGTGCAACGTAGACCTCAACCCCATATCTTCCAAGTCAAGACGTGATTTCAAATTGTCTTTGGTCTTCCCTTTGATATTCATAATTGTCCCAAGAATACTATCACATATGTTCTTCTCGATATGCATCACATCTAAATTGTGTCGTAATAGATGTGTCCTCCAATATGGAAGCTCAAAGAAAATACTTTTCTTATTCCAATTGTCCCCCCTAAGGTCATGAGATATTTTTGTCTTCACGCTTGGATCATTAGACAAAATAATTTTCTCCAAGTCCTCAAGTTGATAAAGAATATCATTAATTGAATATGGCTCTGGAGGTAGACTATGATCAACTTTTCCATCGAATGAATCTTTATCCTTTCGCCATTTATGATTCTTTGGCAAATAGCATCGATGGCCCATATAACATTCTTTACCCCCGTAAGATAGCCTCTCTGATCGAGTACCTTTTAAACAACAAGGACAAGCCAAATACCCTTTAGTACTCCATCCTGAAAGCATTGCATATGCTGGAAAATCATTAATAGTCCACATCAAACATGCACAGAGCTGGAAATGATGTTGTGATGCTGCATCATAAGTCTCAACACCAATTTCCCATAGCTCCTTCAGCTCCTCAATAAGAGGCTGCAAATACACGTCAATTGCATCACCGGGACCTTTTGGACCTAGAATTAGCATTGAAAGAATCATATTATGCTGCTTCATACAAAGCTCAGGCGGCAAATTATAAGGAATTAGGATCACTGGCCATATACTATAAGGTTTTTTCGCATTTTGTAGGCGTCGTTCGAAGTGCGCCTACGTTAAAGCATGTGTGAATATGCTTGGCACTCATAGGAAGTGGGAAGTGACATTACTATTAGGGACAACGATTAGGGACAAATAAAGTAGGGAGCCGCCAACAGGTTTTTAAGGAACTTGTAAACCGTTCACGGATCATAAAAGGCAACCACGAGTAAGGGAGAACGATAGGAAACAACGATGGACCCGTGTAGGTTACACCCCATTCATAATCCATGAGATTACTAACTCCATATGGTTCGGAACCAGGAAAGGAATATCGGGGATGATGGTACGAAGTGAGTCATGGAGTCACATTCGCCCGTATTGGCCTCTACTCGATTCTTATATTGAAAAGCATTCCCGTGATCTCAAAGGCATACAAACAAAATATTCAATTCGCTCCAAACTATTATTTAACTAAATTGGTTGAATATTAATGCACACATTATTCTAAAATATTGGTGATCACTTCAATTAATAACAAGATTAAAAAGGATCCTAAACCGGTTGTCCAAATTATCTTATTAGGCGTGATTTTCAATTACATATTTCCTTTAAACATGCAATATGGTGATCATAAAAAATATAATAGAATAAACATTAATATTGGAAACAATTTAATCACAATTCCAACAACATAAAATCGTTAGAAAAATAATAGAAATAAAAGGAACATGATTCTTACTTTGATTCTGTTTGTTTGCAACTACAAAATAATAAACGAGTTAGTAACTTCAAGGAAATAATAAAACAATAATTAAATTAAATCAAATAAAGTAGAGTTGATTTGGGGCCAAACCCTCAAACAGTTCTACCTTTCACGCCTTGGCTTAAGGATGGAACCACGAGTAAAGTATGGACTCCTTTGAGCACTTGAAGAAGGAATTTTGAAATAAGAAGGGTAGGTTAGTGTTTTAGGCTAAAGCATAGAAGAGAAAAATAAATCAGTGAGTTAATTCGTTCCTCCCTCGTACATCAGAAATGAGGGGGTATTTATAGGGAAAATGTGCTGAGGGAGCACACGGAACCCTAAAATGATAAAAACCCTAAAAAAGTATCATGTGACACGACAAACTGTACTGTGACACGAGACGTCCCACCTCAAAGGGCACACTTTCCCGTGTCACGGTACATTTTTAGTGTGACGCGGGAAATTTTCGGAAAACGGGATAGAAAACGCGTTAAGGGTTTACGCGGAAAAGACACGGAATATCCCGTGTCACGGCAGACTTCTCGTGTTACGGTAAATCCCACCGTCAGACGAGAAGGATTCCCGTGACACGGTGGGTACTTGCCGTGGCGCGGGAATTTCAAGCCTGTTTTTCCGTCTAAATACATTTTTAACCCTAATTTCATTCGGCATTTTAAGTGCCGATTGATAATTTCGGGCCTATTCTGACTTATTATTATTTGGGATAAAATAAGAAAATAATTAAATATAAATAAATAACAGGTTTGGGCCAAAAATAAATAATAAAACAATAAAATAAAAAAGGTTTGGGCTAAAATTAAATAATAAGTTTGGGCTGAAATTAAAACTATGCTTTTACCAAACATCAAGACTAATCCATGGACTGTTCAAATACGATTTTTTAAGCACTCTCGGGATTAAATACTGAACCCGACCAATAGTGGCCGTGAAAGGTTGTTCATCATCGGGTTTGGTTTTGGGGAGACATTTTTAGGTGTCTACAGAAGCCCCCACTTTGACTGAGTTTGTAGAAACGTCAGTTTCGAAAACGATAGTCAAAGTAGCCGATAGGGACGGAGAATGATTTAAGACGTTCTGCGATCCTAAATCACTCTATATACGCCGATACCTGCAGAAAAATTTTAGTTCTACAGATAAAAGGGATAGAATGCGTATCTGGCACCAGTGTATCGGTGACAAACGAATTTGGCAGCTTCCTAAGCTCGAAGGAATCCACCGAGTGACATTGGTTGAAACGCTTTCCATGCTTGAGGAAAGCCGACTGAAGAGTTTGGTAGTTTTCTAATCCTGAAGAAACCTACCGGATGACACTTTCCATGCTTGAGGAAAGTCGACGTATGAATTTGGTGTCATTCTATGCTTGAAGAATTCCACCGATAATGCCTTCCATGCTTGAGGAATGCCGACAAAGGAATTTGGCGGTTTTCTATACTTGAAGAAAAATCCACCGATAACGCTTTCCATTCTTGAGGAAAGCCGACTTGGCGGTTTTCTATACTTGAAGAAAAATCCACCGATAACGCTTTCTAAGCCTGAGGAAATCCGACTTGGCGGTTTTCTATACTTGAAGAAAAATCCTCCGATAACGCTTTCCAAGCCTAAGGAAAGCCGCCTGATGAATATGGTGTCATTCTATGCTTGAAGAATTTCACCGATAATGCCTTCCATGCTTGAGGAAAGCCGATTTGGCGGTTTTCTATACTTGAAGAAAAATCCACCGGATAATACTTTCCATGCTTGAGGAAAGCCGACGATTGCTTAAATTTGCAAGTGTGTGATGGTTCGATTATCCCCGAACGTGGGCCGCAGATGATTCACACCTTTAAGTCGATTATCCGACCATATTAGGTGCTTAAAATGCCGAAAAATAGACTTTGATGCTTGCTAGGGGTAAAATGGTAATTTTAGTCCCCTTTAAGTATCAATTACAATTTTCCGCGTAATTCCAGCGAAAAATAACTGCCCGATTTATGCAAAAAATCGTGCAACCTTAGTCAAAATGTCAGGAATATTCGCAAATAACTGTACAAAGCCACCGTGTCACAAAAAAATATTCCCATGACACGATACGGATCCCCGTCACGCGGAGCTGCTTCCCGTGACGCGGCAAGGGGGTCCCGCGGTGCGGGAATCTAGTTGCTGAAAAAAAACGGTCAAATGGCATCTTTGACCAGTCAAAGCTTGTGCACCACACAAAATCTGACCGTTACATGGGAACGGGGTCCGTTGCACGGGATTTTTTGGTTTTAAATATCACACATTTTCCTCATTTTGCTCATCTTTCTCGTCCGATTTTCACCCAAAAGCTCGAAATTTTTTTTTGTTTGCTCGGTTTGCCGTGTCTTGGCTGCTTCTCATCGACGCTCGGTGTTTTTTTCCTTCGGCCGGCGTCCATCACCGTGTCACGGTGGTCTTGCTTCCTCTCTCTCCTTCTTATTTTTGTTTTGGTTTTTGCTGAAACTTGTTGTTGCTGTCGTTCGTTGCTGCTTACTGCTGTTGATGTCGCCTTAAGTTGTCGTCGGTGCCGCCGGAGCTCCGTCGGTTCTGAGGCTTACCGTGACACGGGAAACACTCACCGTGTCACGGCATTAGCCGACCGTGTCGCGGCAGTCTGCTGGATTGCCGGAGCTTTTTCGAGCTTTTGTTGTTCGATTTTTCACCAAATTCACTCCAAATTTTTTCCATACTCCTCATATTCGAACCTCTACAAGGATCTATGTAAGTTCCTCTTAATTTTTGTCTCAAATTTTCTTCAAATGAGTAATTTCATGAAAAACCCTTAAAAATCAATTTGGGGATTTTTGATTTTGAGGTTTTATGTTGAAATTCTTGCCATGATTTTACTTGTATATGTATGTATGTGTGTTTGTGTGAAATTTGAGACAAAAATTGCATGATTTGATGGAGAATTGAGCAAATCACCGTTTTTGGGTACTACTTTTGTGAAATGATGTTCACGTTACTTCTTTGCACTTGAAACGGTGAAAAAATGGTGGTAGACCTTGTGAAATATTTCATGATGTGTTGATTCATTGTTTTTGTGCAACTTCGAAACATATTTTGCGTATGCACTATATTGTCATGGAGAACATAGTATCATGCGGCTAGGAGAACTGTAGTATTAGTTTTTCATGGAGAAGTTAAATACCATAATTTTGCCAATTTTTAGCCTGGAGGTAAAAATTTAGCGTATAATTCGATAAATAGCTAAATAACTTAGGAAATGATGCTAAGTATTTAGATCTTTATTTTTATAAAAATGCAACTTGAATTAAATGTTTTAGGAAATGATGCTAAGCATTTAGATCTTTATAATAGCATGCCTAGGCGACGGGATCACGATCTTTCTACTAGGGTCGACGTCAGGCTTTTCGGGAGGACACTCCCACTATTCCTGAGGGTATGGACGACGATGCCTTAGAGTCCGAGCCTCAGGCTTCTACGAGTAGAGGTAGGTGGGTTCCACCTCTGTGGACTCCAGATCAGTTGGTTTTCTGCCGTGAAAACCATGTTTCTCATCGCCCACTTTCCGGCATAGTCGACGGCACGCTTCGCCACCATGGTTCTGGAGCCGGCGATTTGATTCCTCGACTTCACCAGATCATTACGAGGGATCCTGCTACGAACGCCCTATGGGAATCGACTGGTTTAGTAGATTTCTATACGGCGGTTGTAGGGTTTCGCAGCCCCCGGGGTTGCGGTGCGACGGTCGTTCGCGCATTGTTGGAGTATTTCTGGGATACTACCAACACTTTTCATTTTTCTTGGGGGGAGATAACAGTGATCCCTCTGGACTTCAGTATGATTAGCGGGCTGCGCTTTACCGACCGGCCCGTAGCTCAGGTGTCTGATCTGTCTTGGGGATCGGCTGAGGCAACTGATTTGTTAGGTCCGATAGCATATTAGGACCCGACCAGTGTCTCGAGGTGGTCCTAAGAGCGGGCGATCGGAGCTGGCTTCAGTTTTAGCTCGTGGCTTTGACATGGAGGATACATCGGCTGAGCAGCGAGTGTGGATTTTCATCCTGATTTTGATCTCCATGACCCTTTCTCCTGATAGGAGTTCACGCATACTCCTTTGTTACCTCCCCTCTTTGGTCAGGATCCATGAGATAGGATCCTATAGCTGGGCCAGCCTCGGATACGCCGACCTTCTCTTATCGCTACGTCATGGGTGTCGGCAGCTGAACGACGAGTCTCCCATCACTGTCTATGGTCTGTGGAGAGTCGTAGAGGTGATGATCTTTTCCTCTTTTGTTTCACTTTAACTTGATTGACTCATGTGCTAAAGATTACTTTTCATTGCAGCTATGGTTCTA